AGCTGGAGGTATCTAAATTCTTTTTTTCTCTCAAAGATAAATGGAGAAGAAAGAAGGCGGCCAACAGAAATCACCCTGGTAAATAACGTTTCTTTAATTTTCCTCAAAATTTATTCAACTCCTAATTTTACAGGCAGTCAGAAAACATAAACCACTGGAATTAATTTCCATTGGAACATAAACCCCCATTTTTTTCCTGTGAGAGTGACTAAACACTGGCATAGGTTACACAGAGAAATTGTGGTGTCCCCATTTTTGGAGATATTCAAAACTCTGAATGGACATGGTTCTGGGCCACTGACTATAAGCGCCCCTGCTTGAGCAGGGCGTTGAACAAGGTGACCTCCAGAGGTCCTTTTTACACCGGAAAATTAAAAGAAAATTCATATTTCCTCATATTTTCTTTTCTATGAGTTACCATTTAGAAAGCAGTAATACCAAGTCATGCTTTTTTTTTTTTTTTAAATGCTGGAGAGTGTGTCGGATTTTGTTCAAAGACATCAAGTATGTTTTGAGCCTTGGAGGGAGAACTAAAAAAGATGACAGATTTGTGACTGATAACCAATTGGAAAATGAGCCCTCTTTTAAAGCACAGAGTAGTAACGAAGGAAACATAGTAATCTTAATGCTTAGTAAAAGCATATGGCCACAGCAACCACAAGATGATCTCCACTGACAGAAGGAAAAGGGCCAGAGGTGTTTAACACTTTCTTTGCCTCTGTCTTCAACACAGATGATGGACCAAGGGGGTCTCAGTGCCCTGAGCTGGAGGACCATGACTGTGAGAATGATTAACTCCCAGTTGACCTTGAAATTGTGTGGGATCTGCTGCTCCAGTTGGATCCTTACAAATCTATGGGCCTGATGGGATTCATCCAAGAATCCTTAAAGAGCTGGCTGAGGTAATCGCAAAACCTCTCTCGATGATTTTTGATCAGCCTTGGGAATCCAGAGTGGTGCCAGGTGTCCAGAAGCTGGGAAATGGTGCCCCGATTTTCATGAAGGGCAAGGAGAAGACCTCTGGAAATTACAGGCCTGTTAGTCTCACCTGAGTGCCTGGTAAAGCTATGGAAAAAATATTATTCTGGGAGGTATTGAAAAACACCTGAAAGACAATGCTGTCACTGGTCACAGTCATCATGGCTTCATGAGAAGAAAGTCCTCTCTATTATCAAATCTAAATTATCAAATCTAAATTATCAAATCTAATTTCCTTTTATGACAAGATAACCCACCTAGTTGATCAAGGGAAGCCAGTTGATGTAATATTTTTGGATTTCAGTAGAGCTTTCAATACTGTCTCTCACAGGATCCTTCTGGACAAAATGTCCAACACACAGCTGGATAAACACATCATATGATGATGCAATTGGCTCATGGGTTGAGCACAGAGGGTAATAGTGAATGGGGTAACATCTGACTGGCAACCTGTCACTAGTGGGGTTCTGCAGGGCTCTGTCTTAGGCTCTGTGCTCTTCAACATCTTCATAAATGACTTGGAAGGGATACTAAGCAAGTTTGCAGATGACACAAAACTGGAAGGAGCTGTTGACTCCCGCAAAGGCCGAGATGCCCTGCAGAGAGACCTTGACAAATTAGGGGACTGGGCAATCACCATGAAGTTCAACAAGGGGAAGTGCCAGATTCTGCACCTGGGATGTGGCAACCCTGGATGTTCACACAGACTGGAGAATGAGGTGCTGGAAAGCAGTGCTACGGAAAGGGACCTGGGGCTCCTGGTTGATGGCAAGTTGAATATGAGTGAGCAGTGCCCTGGCAACCAGGAGGGCCAACCATGTCCTGGGGGGCATCAGGCAAAGCATCACCAGGCAGTCAAGGGAGGGGATTGTCCCACCCTGCTCTGCACTGGTGTGGCCTTGCCTTGAATATTGTGTGCAGTTTTGGGCACCACAATATAAGAAAGATATTAAGCCATTAGAGAGCATCCAAAGGAGTGCAATGAAGATGGTGAAGGACCTTGAGGGAAAGCCATATGAGGAGTGGTTGCGGTCACTGAGTCTGTTCAGCCCGGAGAAGAGGAGACTGAGGGTACACCTCATAGCACTCTACAACTTCCTTGTGAGGGTTAGGGGAGGGGCAGGCACTGATCTCTTCTCTGTGGTGACCAGTGACAGGACCCAAGTGAATGGCCTGAAACTGAGTTAGGAGAGGTTTAGGTTGGATATTAGAAAGAGGTTCTTCACCCAGAGGGTGGCTGAGCACTGGAACAGGCTCCCCAGGGAAGTGGTCGCAGCACCAAGCCTACCAGAGTCCAAGAAGCATTTGAGTGATACTCTCGGGCACATGGTGTGACTCTTGGGGATGGTTCTGTGCAGGGTTAAGGGTTGGACTCAATGATCCTTACAGGTCTCTTCTAACTCAGCATATTCTGTGATTCTGTGAAATTCAACTTATTTGAAGCCATGGTGAACATTGAGATAATTTAGGGAATGTTGTCCTACAATATCTTTGTTTGTAAAAAAATATTTATGGACTGACATTTCTCTGGTAAAAAGTATCCTCAACAGGATTCTGTAAAATATAATCAAAGATGAAGCAGGCAAATGCCACGGTCCGAGGGAAAAAGGAAAAGGGATGCGGCACCACACAAAGGGTTCAAACGCAGCTGACAGGTCTGGGTGCAATGCCAGTTTATTGAGAGAACACAGGGACTTATATAGGGTAAGTCTGAGGGGAGTATTCAGAACTGGGGAGGAGCATGGGACTGACAACTCAGGATGAGACAGGATTGGGAGACAGGGGAACGGTGGGTGTAACTTGTGGGTATCCAGGGGAAGGGACCAATGGGGGCTCACTCTGCACCGCGGCAACTCTCATCCAATCAGTGACAGAGGAGCGGGAAAGCAGGGGAGAGCAGGGTGGTAAACAACTTTTGGCGGGAAAGTCTGAGGGACAAAGGGGAATAATATTGGGGTACATTAAACTTGATATAAAACCAATGATGAACTGGGGAATAACATGAGAGTCCGTGAGATAACAAGTCAGTCCGGTAAAATAGCGGTCCATTCAGGCTCTGTAAATGTCCCTCCACGCCTGATATCTTTCCCAATCAGATTTCTCATTCTCCTCAGGCAAATTCCTAAAATTGCATATTAGTTGAAGTTACTACAATGCATCAGAGTAGGAAAGCTGACTCACTTCTGCAAAATAGATAGTGTTTACTCTATGTTTATTAGCTGAAGTGCTCACGAAGATTTGACTCATGACAGGTTCCACGTGTCAGTGGCTGAAAATATCAAGGATGCTGGAATATCTCATGAGTTAGATGAATCTTTCCCAATCAAAGCTCAAATTATTTCAAAAGTGCTTATGTATGTTTAAGGATCCTTCTGTTACTCCCTTTGTGTTAAAAATTATTTGGGGAAATAACTATGAATATGGTGGTCTGCAATTGTTTGTTTGAGTGCTGTACACCTTCACTCATGGAGAAAGGAGTAGCTTTAGGGAAAAAAAAAGAGGAAACATTCTTTAGCTGATATGGATGGTATGCTGACATGTATTATTCACTGTCTTTCTGAGTTGGTGAATACTTTTTATCTGCAGTAGGAATTCCAGCATACTGTCCGGATTTTGCATGCATAAGCAGGTCAGTGTTTTCAGAGTCATTCAGTGTGTGTCGCTGACAATTCTCCATAAAATTTAACAGTATGGGTACCCTAAAGTTAATTATTAAACTCTCAGTTATTGTTCTTGAGACTAGGAAAACCTTGATTTTGATGTGTTAATCTGACCTCCTTGTGACAGATACTCCACCTAAAAATTCCTTTTCTGAGGCAGATATTTTTATTCCTGACACAAATTATTTCCTTTCAAAAGACACTCACTTGTGATGCTAGGACTCAGTGGTAGGTAATTTCCCATATCAGGAAATGTTATTATCAGTAACATTTTTCAGCTAAAAGTTTGCGCTTTCTCAGCTTCAGCATTTGGATGGCAAGTCCCAGACACTTGTTAGACCCTGTTAGCTAACCTCACAGATTGACTCTGTGACTGCAGTGTTATAGAAATGTTCTCTTGCATGACAGCAGTTATATTCTGTGATTCTGTAACCTCTTAACCTTCCTTACCTATAAACAGTATGTTGTGAATGACTCAGTGAAAGACAGACTGTGGAGTTTTTTTCAGAGCAGGAAGAATTCTTGAAGCAGTTTACTCATCTCTATTTTTCAGGGCTTCCAGACCCCAACCTGTGACTGGATGCAATGTGCAGGTAGCTGGCTTGCTCCTGTGAAGTGGTTCATGGGGAGGCTGTGACCTCTGCTGCAGTGACTGAGGAATGAGAGAAAAGAATCCACAACAATGTTGGTGGGGTGTATTTGGCAAGGACAGAAAAGCTTTCTGAGCCCTTGAATCAGTGTTTCTGGAAGGTTAATGTAATGCCCCTGAAGAGCAAGCTCAAATAGAGGCTGATGAAAACTATGGCATGTTAAAAACTTCTGGCAATATGTAGCTACAATTTCTTTTTCTCTCTGGAGTTTCAGTGCTGACAGATGCTATGAGGATACACATACAGGATTTCTTCTCGTTTACTAAAATTGTGCAAAGATTAGAAAACAACAAAAAGACTTCTTAAAAGCAGCACCAAAGATGATTAAAAAGAAGCATAAAGGCATTTTATGCATAATACATAAACTTTCTGCTATTAGGCAAACAGATAAGAATTACAGGCTAGCTCCACCCACAAGAAGGTATGAGTGTGACCTCTAAAATTACTGTCCTCAAAATCCCAACATAGATGCCACCCATCCCTGAAGTTGCATCGGTTCTTAGCCTAAATATGCCACATGCAGCTCAGGACTGGGAACTCCATTCTTGGGAATTACACATTTCATTGTGAAGGTTTAAAAGGTTGATATTGCAAAGGTCAACAATATTCCTCAATTCTGTTTTTCTTTTTCTCAGGACCTTAAAGCCAAGCCTGTACCATATGGTTTTGGTGTCCGAGTAATTCTGGTGACATTGATGGAACTTGGCTGATTTACAGAAGCTGAGGGTCTGTTGCAGTATGTCAAACAGATGAACATGTTGGAGTGACCAAAACTGCAACCAGGTAGTTTCTTGGGGGAACATCAGTGAGTTGTTATAGAGTGAGACTAGAAAATAGGCAAGTACAGGGCTTCAAACTCTGCAGCGTGGAGAGATGACTTCTTGCATCTACCTAATGATCTTAATAACCAAGTATGGTACTCAGCTAAACTGTAATGAAAGCGTTTGTCTAAATATTCAGGCTTCATTATAGTTGGTGGTGGGGTTTTTTTGGACGATTGTTTGTGTGTGTTTTTTGTTTGTTTGTTTTAGCAAACAAGGGAACTGAGTTAATATTAAGGAGTAAATTTCTTTCACACTTTGAACTTGCACCTTAATAACTCCACTTGCTGCTACTTCCCAAAATAAAAATAAACCTGTTCTTTAGGAATTTGAATATCATAAGGTTTTAAGATTAGACTTTGTTTAACTCCTTGAATTCTGACTGTAGAAGAAAGAATTGTGCCCACTGGGAGGAGTTGCACACGTTTTGTAGCAAGTGTGCACATTGGATATGTAAGTGGTAATACCTTCTCATAATTTTCTGTATAAACGTCTCTGTCTGCACAATGGTGATACATAATATTAGTCTTTCCATTTACACTGAGGGAAAATCCTCCCATTTGGCTGTTTCCCTGAACTTTAATTAAATGCAGAAACCATCTCAAAGACTTGACAGATTTGTTAGAGAAAATGGAGACAGTTGTTGAGCTCTACATTTCTTCAAGGCTTTTCCTGTATATTACTTCTGGTGATCCACTGCATTGTATTACAAGCCTCAGGTTCCGAAATGAAATATGCAGGAGCAAGATGCAGCTTTCCTGTTTAAATCACTTGTATTTCCTCATCTCTTATCTAACATATATGCCCTCCTTCATGGACCTGTGCAATTATGGTTACATTAAGGTGACCCAAGTTCCATACACATCCCCAGGTCCAGTATTATCCCTTGGCTTGAAGGCTTTGTCTTTGTTTGTTTGTTGTTTTTTTTTTTTTTCACCTAGCTAATGGTTAATATTAGGCACAGGAACACAAGCAGAATTTAGGCTTTCTTCTTGAGAGCTTTTCTGTACTTAGGGTTTTGGAGTATGCTATTCTACAAGTTTTGTCAAATACATATAGTGTATAACATACAGCAATGGATTACTCCATTATGTCAAAAAAGTGAATGCATGCTCTGCTTTATACTTGCACCTATCCATTTCAAGTAAAGCAAAATCTCAGCAAAACCACACAGATTGGTTTGGGAAATATTGGCATGGAGGCTTCAGGTTTTGCAAGTACACAGTTGCTAGAAACCAGCTCTTATATCTCCCTAGAAGTTCTCCCTGTTACAATTTTCTTACTTGCACGTAAGAACTCCATAGCACTAAGTTAATTTCCCTGACTATTCACCCACAAATAGAAAACACTCTTCTCCAGTTTTGCTTACTTTTGTTCTGGTGATATTATGTACTACTGAAGAAGATACTGGGAATAAGATCTATGCTTCATGCAGATCACAAAGCTGTTAAGATGGTGGTACTCATAGCTGCATTTTAAATCTTCGTGCTAGAGATTTGCGAAAGTGTAGGTAGAAGATCTTTATTGGAACAATAATCATAAATCCAGGACAGATGTGGATTAATCAAGTTTATTGTATGTGTAAAAAAACATGAGATAACTTTGAAAGATTTCTAGAATGCATTTTGCCTTTTTTTTTACTTTTCTGAATAATTGTATTGTGTGTTTCTTTGCTTGCACGTGTGGGTATGAGGAAAGCAAACCTGACTGGGAGTCAGATAATTCTGTGTTGCAGCTTGTGCTGTGGGCTATGGCTTCTATCTCTAGCTGCCAAGATGCAACCAGAAAATGAAAATAACCTATCATTAGTGCTCCAGTTGTATCCAGAGAACACTTTTGCATATTTGCAGTTATGGCCTTAATTGCTGCCAGTAAGTAGGGACATAACTAATAGTGCTTTGTAATTCAGTGACTCTTGTGAAGCCAAACCAATATGTTTTGATGGAAACTGAAACATGAGCTAATTTCAGTAGGTATCAGGTGCTGAATCTGTTGAATGTAGAGTATTAATGATTCCCTCCTGCTGAATTTCTCTTTTGTTAATTTATAACAAATATTTGAATGAGCTATCTTATCCACTTCATGTTTTAGTCTTTTTTTTGCCTTTGCCAGGGGCAGTATAAACTCAAGTAAATTGAGTTTCCCAAGGAGTTGACAAGTTTTCCTTCAGTGCATATGCGTATTGCCTGCAAGTTATTTCTGGTTTGCATGACCTGTCCAGTTTACAGATATCAATAGCTTTATCTAACTGTGTATTAAAATGGCAAAGGAGTTGCTTGCACTACAGTATGTTACGCTGTAAGAAATACTGAATGTTTGCCAATGTATGTGTGCATGTGTGTGTGCATGTTTGCACATGCATGTGAGGGAAGGATGGGGGCAACTTACCTTGCTTTCTTAAGGCTTACTCCAGAAATGTTTTGAATTTCTTGTAAAGAGATTTTAGAGACGATAAAACTTTGACAAATCTTTCATTAACCACAGCAAAAGTAAAAAGGAACTGATTCTGTGATATTGTACTTGACAGAACTGAGACAAAGTAAACCGCTTTTATTATGCGAGTGAACATAATATTTCTGAAATTGCATCCAAAAGCATCTATTTCACATTTTCCAAGTGCTCTGAAGATGCTCAGTGTGAATTAAAGGAAAAAACAAACCTAGCATCCCTTTATTAATATTCTAAAATGCAAGTTGGAACTTAAAATGTTTTTTCTCTTTAAGGGAGTAAAGATACCTCTCAGTCTCAAACTCTTAACAGGTGTTTAGGATGGTAAACGCTCTCATTAATGAGCGTTTCAAATTTCCTTTTTGAAAGTTATATGACTTTCTTTCTGCTTTTTCCTTAGGCCAACATTAAGCCTTCATGATGTATTACAAGAACTGCAGGCACAAAGAAGTTAAGTAACAATAATAGTGAAGAAGAGACTCGGGACCAATATTATTTTCCTGATGATATTCTAGCTGTGCTGCCCTATAAGACTGACTCTGCCATTAATATGGACTGGAAAGAAGATAGGCATGTCTATCTCTCCCTATAGTATGTCAAACAATAGGAATACAAAAGTAGCACCTTTCTCTGGTTTATTTAAATATTCAAAGCTATTAAATCGAGAAGTTAGTCCAGCTGAAAGTTCCTTACTCAGCCTTGTGAGGAAGAATGGAGAGAAGAAAGAAATAACTCATCTGTGTTAATCAACCTGGGAAATCCACTGCAGAAGAGTTATCAAACTGAAAAAAAACCCTTTCAACAAAACAAATAAGGCCACCAGAACTTAACGTTTCTCCTTCTTACTTAAAAGTCTTATTTATCAAAGCCTATGTTTGAGAAACGTAGGCATTTCCAGCATGATAACATCTAGAACAGTGTCTTGATGGTCAGGTTATGTTAGGTAGGTTGAATGCTGTATGAAGGTATGTCACGGTTTGAGAGCCCCAAAAATCTAATTCCCTATCTTCAAACCCCCTCCCACATCTCAACTCAATGTGAGAAGGTTTTTTCCAGACAACCACACAAGACTTAAAATGGGGGAAAGGGAATATACTACAATGACTGTACACATAAATATTATAATACATTACATACATGATCTCAACTATCTCTACTATGATAAATCAGTATTTATCCCCTCCAAATAAAAGTCCAGGAGAGAAGAAGGAAAGATCCTTTCCAGTCTCAGAGCAGCAGTTTCTCTAGGGCAGCAGTCATCTATCCTCTTCTCATGCAGCAGCTGATTGCTAGATTTCTGCCAGCACACATGAGGGGGGAATCCAAGCCCCCTCGGCCACTCGTCTATCAAGCGAGGGTCTTCTTCCGTGGGCTACGTTCACCCAGACAAGGTCGTTTCACCACGGTCATACCACGAAGCTCAGGGGTCTTTGTGACGGTCTGTATCTTCAGGGGATTCAAGCCCCTTTGCAGAGCTCCTGTGCTCTGCCTCAGGTAGCAGGGGGGGCCAAGGTCACCCCCCTCCGCATTCTTTCTCTGAGCTTTTTAGCTCCTCTCTCTCCGGTGCTGCAGCACTCTACGACTCCTTTCAATTCAGAGTCCATCTCCCTCCTTTCTCGGAGGTCTCAGGGGGGTATGGGGTTTTATTTCAGTTCTTACCCCAACTTCCTCTCTCTCTGCTGCTCTCTCTCTCGGCTCTCTCTTCAGACAACTCTGTATCTTCCTTGGCTGCATGCTGTTGCTTTCTTATCTTTTGGCTCTTAGCCACAGTCTCTGGATACTGCTTCTGCCGCTGCTCTGTCTCTGCTCACTCACAATGGAGAAAACTTCTTTAGCTTTCAGCTGCAGGCACTTAGCCCAGCCTCACGCTGCTCCGAGTCCCCACAGCCCCCCCCCAGCCAGGGGCTGGGGGGCCCCAGAGGCCCCAAGGGGCTCCGAGCCCCTTTCCTCATGGCCTCAGAACATGGTTACCACTTCTGCCACCAAAAAACAACTACCTTCTCTTCCGTTCTGAGTGTGATATGTTTATATTTTGCAGAAGCACTCATTGGGTAAAACTTCAAAACTTCAAGGGTCACCACCCCCTGGGGTTTTACCATTTTATAACTTCAGGGGGGAAAACTGTTTCCCCCCACCACAAGGTACTAGGAAACATTCATTTTTTTAAGATATAGCAGAGCAGTGAGAATAGATGTTGCTATGATTTTGAGGAGCAGACTACTAGGAAACATAATTTTTTCCCCCTTTTTCCTAATGTAGTGCTGTGCTGCCCCCAAAACATTTTCTCATTTCTTTCCCTTTGCTTTTACTGCATCATTCTCTGGGAAAATACAGCTTTAAAGCCAGAATGACACTGAGGAGGAGCCAGCTGGTATTTGAATTTGAAGTGATGCTTATCCATAACAGGAGCAGAGGAGGAGAAAGAAAAGATGTAGCAGAGACTCTATCATCCAGTGGAGACCCAACTGTACTCTCTTCTGACTCTGCAACATCATTTTTGCAGTTCTATCCAGAACTACTCCTTGAGCAGTTAGCACTCATCAGCATGAGCAATTAACATGTCTGTAAAAAAGCTCTCTCAAAAAAGAAAGAAAGATCTTTATTTTATCCATGCCAACAGACATACAGTTTGGTTTTGTGTATGACCATCCCTCGTCTATAACTAGTAATGCTTACAAGAAAACAGTAATTATTCTTGGTTAGGCTTAATCCTCTTTTGAGTTGGGATTCCCATGACAAGCAGAGAAACTTTAGGTAACTGCAAATTATAAAGAATATAGGAAAAAACAAGAACACACTAGTTTAAACCCGGGACAAAAATATCTTTTGACATTATCTCTATATGGAGGAGAGTTTAATGCATTGAAAAATCATCTGATTTCTTTAAATGGCATGCAGTGTCTCCCAAAAAGGGTTCTCTCCTGCTGTTATCACACACGAAAAAGGAGTCTGCCTGCTGTAACAAATTGATAGCTATATAAGAACTTATAACTCCCTCTTCAGAAAAAAAATCTGCCTTTTTTCATGTAGTTAGAGGAAAACTCTCTGCTACAGAAAGTCTCTGAAACATAGCAGTGTTTGCAAAGAAAACAAACATCTGTACATTTTGGGTGAGAATAATTCAGACTTGTAGCATATGTGAGTCCTATTGTGTCGAGTAAAGTTGACATTGGAAAATGTGTCTTTTTTCTGATATGAGAGCTCCTGACATACTACAGGTGTAGAACTCAATATTATGCAAATTAGTGATACGAGGGACTGGGCCAACAGCTAATTTGGCAAAAAAATATTTATAGTTGCTGACTCTGGGGGACTTGGAAAGAGACATTTGGGAAAATATACTGAGAATTATTCTGTTTCTGTTGGCATACATGAATGAAAAACACAGAAGTCAGGACCATGATTCTGATTTCCTGGCTGTCTGAAATGAAAATGCATGAAAAGTGAGTAATTAACCATTTCTGCTAAATACTGACTTTGCAGCTGCAAAAAGAACTATCCAAATTCTTCCTTGTCAATTTTTAATGAATTACTATTACTTACGATCATTGTAGAAAATTTCTAAATGCTATACAGAGGATTTACCATTAAAAAAAAAAAGAAAAGAAACATAAGTTTCTTAAGCAAATCTTTCATATATTGTTGAATAGTGTGGTACAATGTAGCAGCATTAGCAAAACAAGCTTAGAGAATTAAGTATCAGTCATGCAATAGTACAAACCCAAATTCCATTAACCTTACTGACTCATGGCTCAGCAGAGACACAGATCAGTTGGAAAAAGCCCAGAGGACAGCCATGAGAATGACCAGAGGTCCAGAAAACACAACCCATGAAAAAAAATTGAATTAATTAACTAAAGAAGAATAGCTAATGAGGAATATAAATCCAATAGGTAAAAGTAATACATATTAGGCAGTTGTACAGGGATAAAAGAGCTGTTTTTCTGGTCCAAGGTGAGTTTAAAAAAAAGGGTCATAAATTATGGCAGCAAAGGTTTAGGAAAACCATTGTGAAAATAACATTCAAACATAAGAATACTTAAGAATAGAGAATCAACAACAGGCAACCATCTGAACACTGGTTGGAGAGTTGTCTGTCAGGGAGGATTTGCATACATAGAGAGAATTGAAGATGCCTGAGGGCCCCTTCTTACTTCATGGTTTCTCTGGGGAGTAAACTCTGGATTTATGTGTCTAACCTCAAATAAACCAGTGAAAAGTATCAACACCTCCTATATTAAAGTATCAAAACATACACAGAACCTTGAGGAAGTGACTCATATGCTTGTTAATAATTCCTGTTAAAAAATAAATTAAGGAAGGATAAAAAAATAACAGGAAATGAAGATCAAAAAATATAACTTGTCAGTACTTCTCTTTTCCCCTTTCACTCAAGAACATTTCTGTGAACACTATCTTGGGTCTTGAAAAGAGAGGTAGAGTCTGCTCTTTTGCTACACTTCCTTTTTCATCAACCATAAGAGAATTTGTCTTCAGTTTCACCTTTCCTGCCCCACTCTCACATTCCTACAGTTTTTCCAGGTGGGACAATGTGCAGAGATCATCCATGAACATTACAGAATGGGCAAGAGCTGCAATGAGCACGGCTTCCATTAATCATCACAAAAAACTCTGCCCATTTATTTCTATATAGTTATCCCCTATAAACATGGCAATTGGCTAATTAATAAAAAACTATATATTGTGTGGAGATGAAGTTCAGAATCATCCTGGTTTTTTTATGCACTGCACACTTCCAGAGTAAGAGTTATTCACATTGTAATGATTTTGGAGTTATTTAGTTGAAGGATATCACAAAGTATGTTCTGTATACAAATATATAGCACTACTTATGCTTGGTCATTGACATCTGTATCACTTACTTCTGGTCATCTCTGAAAAAAATGAAACAGTTTTTCCCTTTTGTTTCAATAAGTTATAAATCTAGGTATCATTTTTTCAAATCAGTGGTTTATAGTTTATCTTGGCTCCAGTCTATTTCTCTCTGCCACACACAGACTCCATTACTCTGAACAAGTCATCTAAAGCATTTACAAAATCAGCAATCTATCTTCAGCTTACTAAAATGAAGATATTAGTGATCAGCAAGCCTTGCAATGCTTAGGTTTTAATTTTAGAAGCTTCACTGAATTTTCTCATTAAATTCTTCACTACTTGACTTCAAGGAAAATATCTTGAATATCTTTTTGCATATCCAGTATTAAGACGCATCTTTTTTCAGGTGAGTACAGCAGAAGAAAAAAATATAATGGCTGGATAAATTGATTATTAGAAAGTGGTCAAAGGGAGTTGAATATTTACACTTTTTTAATGAAGATGAGTCAAGAATAGTTGCTTGTTGCTACTTACTTTTTAATCCTCTTCTGGCATTTGAAAAAGAGATGTTCACATTCATTTTTTCTCAGGGGGATTTGAAACAGCTTGGAAAAATCTGTTAGCCCCCATTTGATTTTTCTGTGCTACTGATATAGAAGTCTTGTAACCTTATGTTCAATATCTTGTGCAGCACAGATTTTCCCCCAGACAAAAGCGCATGGTTATGCAATGGCTAGTTAGGGTCTAAACATTAAGTATGTAGTTTAAGCTTATTATTGTTTTCATCATAACCAGCTATTCTGTCTGTCTTTAAATTCATGTACTTTAGAAGAGAAAAAAGAGCATTCAGTCTGTGACTGTACGCACAGCAAAAAGGAGTGGGGTCTTTCTACTGGTGCATAAACCTCTTTTTTCTTTAGTTAGTGTTACAGATGACGTGCCTGGGTTGGTGAGTCTCCTGCCACTATCTAGTGAAGCACAACCACAGCAGATTAATTTCCCTTCTTTAATAAGTGCTACCTGGGTTAGCTGATACATCCAACTTAAGAAATATCTGCTGAATGCACCTGGATATATATTTTATACACTAAATTTGCACATTTAGACATGCAAGTTAAAGAAATGCTAACACGCAAGTACGTTATATGACTTTTCAATCAGCTCAAAATAATACAGTGAATAATCATGGGAGTTTGATGGCTCTTTTGGCTGAACCAGAACTGCAGAGTAGAAAAAAAAAAGAATTGGGATTTGCCAAAACACCACAAGTGAAGAAGAAAACTATTTTTTACTTGATGCATTATTGATACTTCATTAGTTTTGTGGATAATTTGGGCCAATTTGAGATACAATTTTTCAGTGATAAAAATATTTTATTAAATAATACTAATGTATAATGAAAAGTTTAATATAATTTTCCATATTATCTTAATTTGCTGTAGAAGAGTTTATAAATAACTGTATTAAATCAGATCAAGAACAAGGTAAGAAAATTCTTACCTTGACAAACAGAAGCTGAACTTAACACAAAACTTATATTTCATGTGCACTATTCCAGATTTATGCCAAGAGATTAAATATCATAGATTGTATTCCTCTGAAATTCTGGTTCAAAGGGAATAATTTGCACATTAGTTGAATTTGTGTTTTCATCCCAAACCATCAATCCCACAGTATTTACATAAAGGTAGGTTTTCTCAATCTTGAATAATTTCTTGGCACACATAATTTCAGTTCATTTATACTGTGTTGCTTTGAAGAGTACAATGCTATATTGGGCAAAAGTTTCTCTTGTTCACTGTAAATTGATGCTTTTTTTAAAAAAGGGAATAATTACAGTCTTTTTCACTGAGGATGAATTATTAGTTCCTCAGTCATTTGGCAAATTGAACAGAAACATACACTTTAGAATTCACTTTCTCTTTTTTGTTTTGTTATGTCCTACCCTAAATGAAAGATGGCAGACAAAACCAGACTTTGGATAATTGTAGATAGACTTCTAAAGACAGGTTTTTAATGAATTAGTAAAAATTTCAAAGAGTCTTCATAGCTGAAAAATGACAGAAGATTCAAACATTTACAATGTATTTGCCATATACCAGATGAGTTTTAGAAATATATTCAACAGAAGACACTGCATTTCTAAAATAGTATAATTAACATTTTGAGAGCATTATTATTGAGAATAAAATAAAAATAAAATTTTATAGTATCTTTTTCCTTTACATTCCTTAGAATAAACTTCCAAGAGCTTGAAACGAACTTACGGAGCAGAATTGGTATTTCAGAAAGGGAGCAGATTCAAATGAAGGTTTAAAAGTTCTAAGAGGTTTCAGAAAGCATCTCTGCCTGAATGGAAAAGCCAGGTAGTGTCAGACAAAATTATGATACCTACTCTGTATGAAATAACTTAAGAGGAGAATGTACAACTCTTATCAACAGCAATGTTAGAATGAGAAATGTTGATGTCTCTATACAGCCATAAGGTACTAAGTCTGATCACTGCTTTTAATTCATTTCAGAACAGCAAATGTATGAAATTCAGACATGAAACTGTAAAGTGTATTTACTCTCTGAATTGAAAGAAGCAATCTGAACACTAACCTACACTGAAGAAAAGAAACTTACTGAAGAAAACCATGAAAAGGGGAGACCCCTTGGACTAGAAAGCATGAAAAGAAATGAATAAACCCCCCTGAGTTAGACTAGAATATTCATGAGAGCTTGGTAACTTTATAAAAGTAGGTGTAGTTTGTTTCAAGAAACTTGTTCCAAAGTGTAGCTTACTAATTGTATCTGCCATTAACCTCTGCAGTGGTTAATGTTCCTAAACAGAAAACCCTGTTTAGGGTAGAATATGTCACATGATGGAACCAATAAAAGGCAATACAGAGTTAAGCCTCCTACAAAGTCTGACCTTTTCTTTAAATGGCTGGTGCTTTTAAATTTTGATTAAAATTTGTCTCTAGTCCCAGGAAGTGCTCTGAATTAATAGCAATAGTGAGAACTGCACCATGTCAATTATTTTGAGAGACTGGGTGCAGTATAAATTTCTGTTTAGGTCAAGATTTAAGACGCTAGACAAGGATTACTTTCCTGTACAAAACTCAATCCACTCTGAGGTGCAAATTGTTCTCTGAGGAAGAGATTGAATTTTTCCCAATATCTATGACAATGGGGTTCCATGCTGGTTTGATTCCTTCAAATAAATATATCAAACACTTGGTATGAAATTCAGTAATTAAAAGTGACCCTCTACGACTTCTGCAGATACTTGATACACAGACAGCAACAGACTGTTTGGAAATCATATATCTTTAAACAAAATTTCCCTTCATGCCAGTAACTTTCTAAAAGCATTAGAAAAGTTTCAACCATGAAAGTTTTTCCTTAATTCTGTACCACTATGTATGGAAAATTGTCTCTGGGGAGGTAGGGTAAATGTACAGAAAATAATATATTTTTTTCAAATGTGAGAAGGATTTCTGCATTCAACTGAACTAAAACATCACTAGCCTTTAAATTTCTTGCTTACTTGATACAAAATACTTAGGTACTCTCGTATAGCAAACAATGAGAGCACATCACCGTATCTGATAGTTACAACAGACATAATATTTCATCCTTGTTTCTCTTTTCTAGTCTGTAAATTAATTGAAATGTAATTGCATGTCTTCCATGACTCTAGCACAGAAAACTATTCTAGCTCAGAGTGATTTTAATCACTTTAATTCAGAAAATAACTTTCTTGAATGTTAATTGCCTTGCTAAGTGTAATTTGTGTGGACTTCATACTAGAAGAGGCAGGAAAAAAGCTGATGACCCTCAAAAGGTGCTTGGAAAAAAGGTGCTCCATTGCAGAAAATCCTTTTCATACTGATAGCTAACCATATAGAGAGATGCTTCTAAGACTTATTTTTAAATAAAAATCTTTCAGGACTTAGCAGTGCTTACACTTCCCAATAGATGAAAGCCACACATATAACTAAATTTAGAGAACTTGACAGGGAAGGCTGTGCTCTTTCCATCAGTAGCAACTCTGCTGGAGCTAGGTCTACTTTCCTTCCCTGCCTGCTTTTCATTGCTTCTCAGAGCCTCTGTGGATTTCACAGGAGATCTTAGCTGCTCCATCAGCTACAAGAATGTCTCATTATAATCTGACATAAGCACAGGTTTTGCTGAAGAGTTGTTATAAGGAAACTATGACTTTGTTTTAGGTCAGTGTTGCAACTTTCTCTTTCTTGATCATTTTGGCGTTATGGTTATAACTGAATTAGTCTGTCACTAGGCATGTGATAACGCATATAGATTTAGTAACAGAAGTAAGCAAGTTCACTCCTCTAATTTAATATTCTCATCCTATTTTGATAAGCATTTTCTAAAATGATAAAGAAAACCTGGTCATAGGCAGAGAAAAAAGATGCTTGCCTGATCTCTTTCAAAGAAGTTATGAATTTTATTTATCAAAGAAAGGAGGATGAAACAGCATTTTTTTAGGAAAATGCATAATACGATTTACTTATACTTCGTATTTCTGAGTTTGAAGATGGTCAGAAAAAAACATTCTAGAGTTCTTAAAATAACTTGCCAAAGAAGTTCTATTTAATATTATCAGCAATAATTGTTGGAAATCATTGCCTCTTTTGAAAAGAAATCTAAATTAGACAGTTCTTCCCAGTATGTAGTTATCTGCCACATATATTTTGAGTAAGCTTTTAAAGGCTTCCTAGGGTAATGGCAAATCATTTTGATTGTTTGGGGTTTTTTACAAGTTTCTTCATTTTTCTCTGATGTTCTTTACCTGATTAATTTTTTCAAGGTTTTTTTCCCATTTTTTCCTTTTTATATTTTTTCAGTTATCTGCAGCAAGTTACAGTATATTAAGGTGTCACGTGCTGGTCTGTTGATATGTGTTTGTCCAAGCTAATAGTCCCTGGAGGGATTTTAGCTTTTTCTGTTTTCCTTTACTGGAAAGGAAATGTAACATGCATTTAAATTGGCTTTGTCTCCCTTGCATCCCACATTTACAATTCTCTACCTCATTCTTGCAGATGTGAGGAAGAAATCTCAGCTCTGTTGCTCACAGAGTGTCACAGTAAAATTCACTCTGGAGTAGGGGACTAACTGAATGAGTTTGCCAAAAGCCATTTGACATCCTAATTTGCATGGCTGCAGAGACTCCTTTTCTCATTGAAGAGTCTGCCATATGACATGAAAGGATCCTTTGGTACTTTGTTTTTCCCTGTTCTCCCAGACAGTTTTGGTTCCAGCAATGGTTGTGTAAATCTTCTTACTGTTCTAGCCTCTTCTTCCTTGCTTACAACAGCCCTCAGTGATAAAGTCTAAGCAAATCACATTTCATAAACAAGCAATGATATGTTTTCCTTTTACAGATTTTATTATTTTTTTTCCTATATAACTAGAAGGTCTTCTTCACCTTTTTTTGAGTATAAGCTCTTGGATGGCCTAAATTAATTTCTCTCCCACCTATAAACTCCCAAATCTCTTTCTATGCTTCCTGGGTCTGTGACCGAAATCAAAGGAAAAAAACCACCAATGCAGTGTTTGTTTGGACACAGCATCTACTGCTCAGGTCATTCATGTTTAACTCTCAAATGTTTCAAACAACCCTCTAATCTCTCAACTAAAAATTTAGCTTCAACAAAATCTCTTTCTTTACTGTACAAAGACAGATGATATATTACTAATACATTAAAGAATTGTCTAACTTGAGACCTCTGGGGATTTTCTTAGTCATTTCTCAGAGATGATATACTTTCACCCACATTCGTCTAGACAAAAGACTGCCTCTGAGCCCTTATAAATCTTTAACTCACTTTCAGGATTTAGACTCCATGAATCCTATCTATTCTGTTGAAGTAAAAGCATCTCCTAGCCCAGATTGATTTCTCTGCCATCATGCTCTGCACCATGCCAGGACAAGGTGATTCCAGTGTTACTCTTCTACCATGGTTACCTCCTCTCCCTTCTTTTCTTTTTTTAACAACCATAGAGTATAGGGTTTTGAACACCATAAAAGCACTAGCTTCTCTATTTATTGTACTGCTCTTATATACCCCTCCAACCTTTCCTTTTTGTGAAAGTCTGCTATGACAGAATGTCATCAACCTCTGTCACAGGTAGCCATAAAATCTGTACTCCAGCAGTAGAGAGGAAAATGCTTTATAGGCCATACTTTCTCCTCCTGAAAAGTAAAGAAAGGAGAATTTTCCTGAATTTATTAAAAATAACCCTTCAGTGAGGACCAGAACTTCTGAGTAATGACCCAGACCATCTTTGCTACTCAAAAATAGGAGTTAGTTCATGCTTCTGAATTTCAAAAGAAGACTTTTTCTGTAAGAAAATAAAATACATCTGTTTTCCAGTGGGTCAAGTTTACTATCAGTACAATATTCTAGTTCAGACTTTTTTAAATGGCATCAGTTGTCACAAGATGAAATGGGGTATTCTTCTCACTATATATTGATAACTGTTTTAAAGAGATTATCAGGAAATAAAACACTGCAGACACACTATAACTCTTGAAAAGTCTAGATGTTTTGTATTTTCTCTTTCTGTGCCCGGTTCTTAGAGAAAACTATGAGAATTTTGGATTGTGTGTCGGTGATGATGTGCTTATCTCAAGGAATTACTCTCAGAAATTTTTCCTTTCATCTAGTCTTATCATGACACCAGTGCTGACTATTTCATATGTCACAAGACTTGGTACATCTATTTTATGTCTTATACCAGATTATAATTCCAGGATTTCTAGTTGTTTTCAAAGAACTCCAGTGGAGGAAAACAATTCACGAGTAGCTTGAGCACTCTCTGCTAACTTTGTCCAGGATTTGTCCAATGTCTTTACTAAGAAACAGTGTGCTTTGGTGAGCTACCAAAATGGATGGAAGCCATGAAAATCCACCGTGAAGATACACGATTGAAGACTACTTCTATTAACAGAGCTCAAGCTGCTCGGGGTTTCTCGAGGAATAGCTCCTATCTCCCGTACATGAAATTACATAGAAGAGCACAGGACAATACAGAACATGACTGCATGATATGGAACTGAGATAGAAGTGTTTATACATATATGTATAAACATGTGTATGTGCAGAAAATTCAGTAAGAGTTAAAATAATCTGGTTTTCAGTAACTGTATTTATGTAAACCCCTCCAGACAGAAATTACTCAGCTTGAACAATGGCTACTAAGGAAACAACTCTTTCTGTAAAGGTACTAAAGAAATGATGTCATGGTAACAGTAGCAGCCTAGTAATTTGTGAATTTGTCATATGCACAAAACGCATAATCAGAGTATCAAGGTATTAAGTGAAACGTTACAAGGAATTTGGTATAGAAGTCAAGATTGGTATTTTTATAACCATAGACATTAAACACAAAATAGCTGTATGAAAACATAGGTCCCATAACTGTAAACCATTGAGAGCATAAATTTACAACACTGAATTACTAAGTACTCGGTTGTTTGGAGTTTATTTTGGACTGAATTAATTGTATGTATTTTCTGCATCAAAGTTGCAATCATGCTATGGTTTCTGTAGTATTAATGCTCCCTCCTACCTTAACAGACATATTCAGATGTATCTGCATGCCACTGCCTACCTTATGTGCATCACCAAAGGGTTTTAGCCCCCAGATTCTGCAAGCATGCATTTTAGGGCATGTGCCATCAAGAGCTATAGGATGGCACACGCACTGGAGACAGGACCCTGACAACAGCTGTTGGTAAATTCCTTAATTTAGACAATAAATAACCCTGATTTATTAGAAGCTCCTAACTGATGGATTTCAAACCTGCTAAGCTTTGTGCATGCACAACACCAGTCACTTTACAGTAGGAGTTGAAGAAGTGTTCA